ATTAAAAAGGAAGAGGTGGGTATTTGCTTGTGCAGGCTCAGTTGGAAAACATGCTTCCACATACACTGCAGGTTAAGATGATAAGGCCTAAGCTCCTCCCAGAGAGAAGATCTTAGCATTAAAAATGAGGCAAAGGTCATAGGCGGAGCTCCTGTGGTGACGCTTGGTCTGGTTCAGAGTGGTTGGTGACTGCATCTCTTAAATAGTTAAATGCTTCCGAACCCACCTTTGAGTTCCTTGGGACAATTAGTTGGTGACAGAAGGGAGGAAAGATCTGGATGCTCTCCACTCTTCCCACCTCCTCTCTACCTAATAGCTGCTGACCGCTCTGGGCCCAACTGCAGAGAAGCAAGGGGATAAAACAGTTCTTCCCTGACTGGGTGGTTCTCTGCCCTATGGGCCTCGCAGATATTTAAAAGGGGCATCCTTGCTGTCCCCTTGACCCCAGTGGATGCAGCTCTATTCTGGGTGGTCTCCTGCAACTCCCTCCTTAGCCCACAGGGGCTGAGCCCACTCCTAGCTTCTTTGTGCTGAGGTCTCCTTGCTTGTTCAAATGGTCCTACAGGACAGGACCCAAGACCACCCCATGCTTCCCTCTCTCCCGCAAGGTGCATAGGATACACTCACGCATCACTTGCCATGACAAATTCTGGAAATGTAGGCCAATGCAAAAGCAGCAGCACTCTCCTGGCTCCGCCATGGAAACAGTTAGTGAGCCTCTGCTTGCCGGCTACACTTCCAGCACAGGAGTCAGACTCCAGGCTCATCATTCCTTGGCTGTAGGAATAAATCCCTCAAGCTTCCTGAAGGGTCCCAGTGGAGTCCCCAGGTACACCTGAGGTAAGAGGGCAGAAACCAGCCCTCCAAAGGAGGGGGCGGGTTCTGACAGGCCAGCTGTACTTTGTCTCACAGAAGCTCTCTCTGAGTCTCCTCCCATCCTTCCTCTTTCTGACCTTGAACCTTAAGTGTGCTATTAATACTACCAGCAATCATACTGTATTTCCTTAGTTCTTTTACTCCCTCTCTTACTCTCTTAGAAACGACATTCACGACCGTCACTCCTCAAAACTCCAACCCTTTCTCCCCCATTCTCACTCTCAACCCGTAAGTCTGCCTCTTGCTTCATTGAGAAAAATCAAAGCAACCAAAAAAGAACTTCTCAAACCCTATCCTGACCTTCTGAATGAGAAACTGGGGGAGCACTTAGCAATCTGCAGTGTAACAAGCCTTCCAGGTTACCCTAATTATGCAAGTTTGAGAACCTCTGCCTTTCACAGAGGAGCAACTCCCTCCCACTCCCGTTTACCTCTTACTATTCCTGCCACTCCTTCAATCCGTTCTCAAGCTGCTCCTTAAACTGGTCTCATTGTTCCTTGGACAGCTGGCATGCTGTTATTTCTTAATGAAACATACACTGTTCTCTCTTCAGTCCAGGCTCTCAACATTAGACACTGAATCCCAGGCATGGCCTTGAACAAGAGCTTGCCCTGAAGCTGATGATGGAGCAGGGAGGACCCAGATCAGGCTCAGGAGAGTCCTGCTTTCAGAATCAGGGTGACTGATGGAGCCACTAGCGGGGGCTGGGCTGAGTTAGGGGGAGCCCGGGGCCTAAGTCAGACCCAAGGAAGTATTTACTCAGGTGGCTGGAGCCAGAATAGGCAAAGGAAGAATCTAAATTATAAGTCAGGGAGGAAGCAAAAGAGAGGAAGGCAGACACCAGCTGTCCTGCTGAGCATAAGAAAACAGGGAAAATGATTCAAGATCTAGGAACATAAACATTTGGGAAAGAACACAGATACGGAGCTATAAAAGGGGATGTGTGTCCTACAGTGAGATGCCCTGCTACTCCAACACATTCCTCGGACTTTGTGGCTTGTCTCCCCATTATCCCAGAGGCTCCTGCCCCATGGAGCTGCCACAATAGTCATCTCCCCAATGATCCCTGGTGAATCCTGATGAGCTAGAGACAACTATCAGGGTATTTTATCTTGGCTGCCTGGCAGCCAACTCCACTCACCAGCTTCACATCACCCCCAAAATGGAAGTCTCTCTCATAGGCTGTGTGAACCCTCTGCACTTCTGAAATTTGTGCCATCCAGCCTCTCCTTCCCTTTGTCTGCAGACCTCCTGGATCGGCCCCCTCCCTCAAGAGGCTGGTACCTGTTTTATGCCAACTTCTGCCATCATCCTGGAGAACGTCCAAGTCCATGCAGACAAACCTTCCCTACAATACCTGAGCCCTGAGTCCATTAACCAATCTACAGGCAACCTCCCTTGCATGCTTCTCAGGCACGCACTCCTGTAGCTACATTCTAGACTTTGCCATCGCCTGGTGCTACTCTGCTTCTAATATTAATAATTCAAACATCCCAATTTATGACCACAGCCTCCCATCCTCCCAGGTCACATGTTCAGTTACTCCCAGTACAACAACCTACTCCTGTCTTCACTCTCCTCCCTGTTCTACAAAATCCCAAGGTCCAGCATAGCAATCACTTACGAACAGCCTGAAATTCCTTTGCTTGATTTCCTTTCATTTCAATTGTGTGGCAAGGTTTGGACTCTGGATGACCCCTTAGTACTCACTCTTCCCACAGCTCCCTCTAGACTCCTGAGTAGGCAGAGACAACCACACCATTCGGCTGACTGGTATAACCATAAATTCATGCATAATACCACTATAAATTCAAAAAGGCCCTCAACATTACTCAGCAATTCTCACCCCAGTGCAATCTGACTTCTCTCTCATCTTTTTTTTTTAATAAGTGTTCTTTTCTCTCTCTTTTTTTTTTTTGTGAGGATGATCAGCCCTGAGCTAACATCCATGCCAATCCTCCTCTTTTTGCTGAGGAAGATGGGCCCTTAGCTAACATCTGTTGCCAATCCTCCTCCTTTCTTTTTTTCCCTTTTTCTCCCCAAAGTCCCAGTAGATAGTTGTATGTCATAGTTCACATCCTCCTAGTTGCTCTATCCGGGATGCCACCTCAGCATGGCCGGACAAGCGGTGTGTCGGTGTGCGCCCGGGCACCAGTAGCGGAGCGCACGCACTTAACCGCTAGGCCACGGGGCCAGCCCCTCTCTCATCTTAATAGACCTTTCAACAGCATTTGACAGCTGACAACCTCCCCATTCCTTCCAGATTAAAAAATCCACTCTCCTGGTTTTACTCCTCCATCTCTAGCCCAACCTTCTCATCTTGTGACCTTTACTGGCTCATTTTCTTTTACCCACCCAGTAAATGCTCCTCAGAGTTCTACTCAGAGCCATGTTCTCTTCTCATTGTCTTACTCTGAGTATCTCATCTATTCCTATGACTTACATTACCACCTCTAGGCTGCTGATTCCCAAATCCCTAGAACAGATCTCTCCTGAGACATTTATGTCCCACTTCCAAATGAACATGTAACAGATACATAAAACCCAACATTTGAATGGCATCACCAGCCCAACCAGTTGTTCAAGCCAGAAACCAGAGACTTACTTCAGATTTCTTTCTCTCACTAACCCTCAACATCCTACCAGTTCCACCTACTGAAGTTCTCCTGCCTGCCTACTTCTTCCATCGTCACTAGTCCACAGTGCCCTTATCTTGTGCCCCAAACCATATTTAGAAAGATAAATATGACTTAAGAAGACTGCAGCCTAATGCACAAAGCAATCACAACACAATACTTCGATGCTGAAGGTTCACTCTTCATGTCGTGCTTTGAGAGCACAGAGGAAGAAATTCTGCTTTGGGAGTGGTGGAGGAGGAAACAATCAGGCTGTCTGGAAGGATGAGTAAGACTCTGCCAGTCAGAAGAGTGTTCAGCAGAGACAAGCATAGGCAAAGGCACTGTGCAGGGTCTGCTGAATGGTTCACAGCCTGCCTCAAAACCTCACCCCCTTCTGGAGGCATCCAAATGGCTCAGAGCCCTGGAACTGTGTCCCAGTGGTCACTCTCAGTTCTTGTTCTTGGAAATAGGTAGAAGAGAATGTATCTTTATACCTGGGCCCATGGCAGATACCTTCTGGGAGAGGCCCAGGATCTATCATCCCAGCTCATCTTTTCCCAGCCTTCCCTGCCCATAGCTTTCCTAGGACATCCTGACCTGGGCCCACTGCAAGGCAGAAACAACAGACAGACCCTTCTGCCAATGAACAGCCCAATCCTTCGCCCCAACATGGCATCAACCAGTTGTTATTTATGAAGAGACCCAGCTCTCTCACCACCCCCCTCCAAGGACAGCTCAGAATCAAGAATCTCTAAATATCCTATAAAGTGAGCATACTGAAAGGCCTATATTGAGCTCTCCCAGAATCTTCCTCAGTCAGCAAATCCATACTTTACCCTTCAACCTCCAACCCTGCCTAGGGAAGGTCTTTAGAAAACAGTAAGGCTTACAACACATAATAGCCACAGCTATAGTTTATTGAGCACCTCTTATGTACCCGGCCCTGGCTATGGATTTCCTCAGTTAACTCACATAACAATCCCGTGAGACAGGAATCCTACCATTTTCCAAATGAGGAATATGATATTCAAAGATTAAATGACTCTCAGCAACAAGTGGCAGGCCAGCATTTGAACCCAGGCCTACCTGATTCCAAAATCTGTGCTCTCACACACCAAGCCCCCACAGGGCAATAGGTGCTAGGAGTCATTTGGGCCATATGGCTCCAAAGATGAAGATGAAGGTAGAGGAGACAGAGGTGTTTACTATAGGGACAATCAAATAGTCTTGACCCAGAAGCCCAGAATATGTTGAGCCAGGATGTTGGTGGGCTGCTGGTTGCCCCAGAGCCAAGAAGCAACACTTGCCTGTCTGAGGCCTTGAAGGCCTGGGCAGACTGAAGCTGAAGGAGCAGGAGCTACGGGTGAGCAGATAGAGCTGGTCTGTAGACAGAAGATCAGAGAGTGGACATGCCAGGTCAGAAAGACCTGTGGCTCCTGAGAGATGCCTGGTATTCCGAACCATCTAGTTTCCATGACACCTAGGGCACCCATAATTCCCAGATACCCCTGTGTTCTCACAATAAACTCCTTATTCTTTAGCTAGCCCGAGTGACTTTATGCTTCTTGCCACCAAGAAGTCTTCACTAGAACAGGGCTGAGCCAGAGTTTTCATCACACTTTGTTCTGGGGACGGAGGAAGGGTGGTACCAGGTCCTGGGTCACAGCCTGGCTGGATGCAGTCTTCAGAGTTCTGAGCCTTGAGTTCGAGACTTGCTTCCCCTTTCAAGGGGGGTCCAGAGGTCACCTGCGCTTGTAGAGACATGGCTGAAGCTTCAGGCCTGAGAGTTGAGCCCTGGGCCCTACCTGAGGGGGCCCAGTCTTTTGAAAGTCAAACAAGAAGAAGTGGCTATTGGTCAGGTCCTGGGGGCAGAAAAGACCAAGTGAGCTCCAAATCCTCACCCGAGCTCCTCAAAACACCTCCATCCACATCCCGCCCCTGCTCAGAAAGCTTCCCAGGGCTCTCCCATGAGTCGTGCCTTCAAGGAGCAAAAGTCTGTGCCTGTGCCTATGGCCTCCTTCCTGAATACCATTACTCTGAAAAGGGCCACCCATGAGACAAAAACAGAGACAGAATTCTTGTGGCCCTTACCTTGGAGATGACCTTGAAGCCTAGTTTGGTCACAGCCCCCAGAAAGGTCCGAACATCTTCAAAGCGGCTGCTGACTTCAGCCACTTTCAGGAGACCCCTGAGAAGGATGGAGAGTTCTATGTAAATACACAGATGCATGCATGTGCACATACACACATGTCTGTGTCTTGGGGGCTCCTACCCTGGCTTCAGCACTCTATTTGCCTCCTCTAGGAAGTCTCTGATGTTGGTTCCCATCAGTGAAAGGCAGAACACAGCCACGTCCACAGACTCATCCTCTAGAGGCACCTGTGCAGGGTGGGAGTGTTGTATGAAACACACAATATGGGGAGGAGAAAGTCAGCGCTGAGTGCTAGGGCTGGACATTAGGATGAGGGCACAGGGAGGGAGGAAGGAGGGAATGTTAAGAGTTTAGCACATGGAGGTTGGGCCTGGAGCACAGGCCAGACACGTAAAGGGATAGAGGGGTTTACCTGGGCCATGTCGCACACAGTGACCCTGGGGTCCAGAGAGGCCAAGTCAAAGCAATGCACAGTGTTCCGGATACTTGAGGCTAGGCGGCAGTCCCCGCAGCCAAAGTCAGCTACCACCAGGGACGCAGGCCTGGGAATGGAGAAGAGGGATCATTCACTGGTCTAGTGCATGAGCCCATGACTGACCCACATTGCTTCTCACAGCGCCCAACCCCCATTCACCGCTGGCGAAGATCCTTGGCAATGCGGTCCACGGGCTGCAGTGGCCACTTCTTGATTTGGCTCTGGAAGCCACGGTGGTAGAGGACAAAGGCCTCAGGGTCTTCCTGGAAGAGGCGTTGTGCAGCACTGCTGGGCCCTGAGTACAGCTGTTCGTTCAGGTAGCGAAATCGGGCACCATCCAGCCGCTGTGCCATGCGGGCTCGCAGAGCCCCTGCCCGAGCCTCATGGCTGTCTGGACTGGGAGTAGGAGGCACCTCTGTCTCCTCTGTGGGGGCTGTGGCTGGAGCCTGGTCTGGCGGCTGAGGTGGCCGAAACTTATTCTTGTGTCTACGCTTGTTCTTCTGCCGGTTCCGCCACTGCTTGCGACTCAAGGTTTGGGGGGGCTTGGGGGAAGTGGTCCCAGGGCTTGGCTTGGGTGGGTCATTTGTACCACTACTCTTCCAAGCGTTGGGACCTACAGGGAGGAGGATGGAAAGCATATCTGGGGCAAGATCCCCTGAATTCAGAGGTTTGGCAAGTCATCCTGGCCATACCCCTGTCCTTGAGACAGAGACTGTGGCCTGGATGAAAGTACTTCTTACTGCCTAACCCCAAAACTAAGGGTGGCAGGTAACCTCTGTCATACGTAGGATCAGCTGACCCCCCTCCCAGTCCCACACACATATACACATCCACTAGTACCTGTTTGGTCACCATTGTCCAGGTGCTGGGCAGGGTTTGAAGAGGCCTGTGTCTGGCATTTCCTTTTTCTTTTCTGTTTTTCAGCGGAATCACCACCAAGAGCCCCTCTGCAGCACTTCTTCCTTTCTACTTCCTTTTCCTCAGAGTCACTGCCAGGTGGGCCCTGTTTCTGATGTTTCTTCTTCCTTTTCTCCTCTACTTCAGTAGAAACACTGGCAAATGAGGGCTTTTTTGGGCGTTTCTTCTTCCTTCCCACCACCTCCTCTTCTTCAGAGTCACTGCCAGGCAGGCTGAGGGGCTGCTGGGGAAGAGATGCTGCCTCCAGGACCCGTAATGTGGCCAAGAGCTGGCGGCGCTTGGAGTCCTGAGGGAAAACAAGGCATGAGAACAGGGCAGAGGAGAATGGATGGGGCCTGGAGAATAAGAAGGGAGAAATGGGGACCTGATTCAGACGCTGGCAGAGACATCTGGATTATTCCCAGTCAACTTAACTCGCTTGTCATGAAGCCTGCCAGACCCTGAAGAACTTTCAAGTCACCATCCAACCTCCGAGAGGCTGGAGGGCAGAGAAACCACCCACCCCACTTTCTTTAATGTACAGATGAGGTAATGGGGTTCCTCAGAGGAATGTGGTGAGGCCACAAGCAACAGGACCAAGGCCAGAGACCAGGAGTTCCAACCCTCAGTCTCAGGCTTTTACCTCCAGCTGATATCTTTCTATAAAAGAGGAAGGGAGGTTTCTGAAAACAAGAGTGATGGGATCACTCACACGTGTGCATTTAAGATGACTCTAGCTGCAGTGTAGAGAACAAACGAAGGCGACAAACTGCAGACAGAGAGGCCAGTGGCCTAAATTATAACAATGGGTTGAAGGAATGAAGAGAAGAGAATAAAGCATGCAGATTCCATGTTGGAGGCTGACTGAAGGGTAGGAAGAGCTGGAGGAAGTACAGCAGCCATCACATCTGCAAAAACTTAAAGGAGAAGATCTGTTGTCTGGGAGGTCTTCTGCGCTGAAGTCCTACTGGGCCCTCCCAGGCTTGGAGGTTCTCAGGTCCCCTCCACACAACCTCCTTTTAAACGATAGTACTGACAATCCTTCATTGTCATTCACTCTTGCTCTCTCCAATCCAATCTCCACAGTGCAACCAATGACCTTTGCAAAATGCAAATCTGAAGAAATCATTCCCCTGCTAAAACCAGTTCATTGGCTCCTTGCTCATCTTACAATACGCAAAACCTCTAATCTACCTCTCCAGCTTCAAGGGCATCCCCTCACTCTCTGTGCTCCAACCACACGGATTATTTTGTGTGTGACCCAACTAGGACCTGGTCTCTTGCCCCAGGGCCTTTGTACAGGCTTTTCCTGTCCAAGAAACCCTCCTCGCTTCACTAACTTCTATTCACCAACTCTGTCTCAGTTCCGAGGTCATCTTCTTTTGGAAATTCCCGTATCTTCAGTCGGCCGCAGGCGCCCCCCTCTCCCTAATACAAACACACACACACATATACACGCACACACACGGCGTGCCCCAGCGCTGGGATCCACCAGGGTCCGCTTCGCCGCCTGAAACAGCTCCAGAGCCCCTGCGGGGCCACTTACCTTGATCTTCGAGGCTGCTGCGGGCCGAGGCCGTGAGGATACAGGCCCGAGGTCCGCGGCTGCGGGGGCCTCCTCGGCCCACTCCGGCTCCTCGAACATGCGGGTGGGGAGGGCGAAGACGCGGGGACCCGGCGCCGCTCCACGTGCAGAGCGCGTCTCCCCGACTCACACCGCGGAGAGCAGCCAGAACCCAGCCGGAAACCAAGGAGTGGAAGCCAGGGTGGCTAGAGCGGCCGGCAGAGAGCCGAAAACCATAGAGTTCAGACACTGGTGGGCTAGAAAGGCAAAGGAGGAAGGAGGAGGGAGGGAGGGTAGGAGGCCCGCGCTGACCAGAGAGGGCCAGGGGCGGGGCGGGGCTGGGCGGCGGGCGCGGCCGGACGGTAGTTCCCTGAAGAAGGCTCCTGCAGCCCAAGTCCCGGTGAGTGTGGGAGCACCCGTGTCCCCTCCTTAAGGCTCGAGCGCTGCCGACCTGTCACCCCTCGCTCCGGCTGAGTTCCGAGTAGGGAACGAGGGCTCCCCCGGGAAAGGATCCCCGATCGCATCCCCCAGGGTTTAGAGCGCCTGAACTCCACCCCCCCCCCAGCTCTGTTCGCGGGTAGGGTCTCTGTGCTTGCTCTCTGACGTCCCTGCAGGAGATACTACCTCTTAATCACCTCCTACCTCGCCCGGACCCGCCTTTCCCTCGCGCCCAGGGGACACAGTCGGGGATCATCTCCCTACCCTGAACTCCTTCCCAGACCTCTAGTAGCCGGCGACGCTGCCCAGACCCCCACCCCCAACACGAACACTTCTCTCCTGCAGGGGACAAAGCTTGGGGTTCACCCCCTTCCCTGGATCCCTCCACAGTCCCCAGGCTTCCCCAATCTTGGGGACTCAGCGCTGGGACGCTGCTATGGACGACATTTTCACTCAGTGCCGGGAAGGCAACGCGGTTGCCGTTCGCTTGTGGCTGGACAACACCGAGAACGACCTCAACCAGGGGTGAGCTGAGGTGGCTGGTGGGTGAGAGGAAGGGCAGAGACATGCTCCTCTCCGCGATGTGGGTTGCTTCACGTCTGGTGTGGATGGCTGACTTTCCTATCCAGTGTGATGAGTGCTAAGCCCAGCCTGTGGGTGGCAGGGGGTCTCCGCAGAGGAAGCTGTGTTTGAGCTGAATCTTGACTGCTGAATAAGAGTTTCACAGGCAGAGGCTGCAAAGAGCTTTCCAGCCTCAGTGAACTGCATGGGCAAAAGCTAGGAGGCAAGATAGAGTGGAGAGTACCCTGAAATTGTCCAGAGATCCATATGGGCTTCTGTGGGCTGAAGCGTTGAGTACAAGTGGAGAACGACAGGAGATAAGACTGGAAAGGTCTGCAAGAATCAGCTAGAACATGCAAGGATATTTAGGCTAAGGGTTTAAAGCTGTGTGGTGATATGATGAGGTTGTCCATTTGTTTATTGTCATTTTGGATGCTTTGTGAAGAGCAAGTGGTGATGTGAAGAGAAGCAACTGCTTGGTCTATCCCAGAAGTAACGGCTTGGACTAGAATGGGGTCATATGAAAAAGAAAGAAGTGATCAGATTCCTGAAATCATCAGGATAAAGAATTGGTGAGATCTGGTGTGGGAATTGAGGAAGGTCAAAGATGATGACCAGGGTTCTGACTCGGGCACTTGAGTAGATGGTGGTTTCTTTTACTGAGACAGACGACTGGAGGATGATGAGTTCCACCCTGGACATGTTAAAGTGACAGTAGAGCGAAGTGGAATTGTGGAGTAGGTGGTTGGTTATGCAGATTTGGATTTCAGGAGAGAGATCTGACTTGGAGATACAGACTTGGGTGATATTAGCATACAGATGAAACCTGAAGACATGGGTGTGAAGGAGAGGGGATGAGAAGCCTGCGAGACCAAAAATGAACAAGTGGAGGTTGAAGGAGAAACAGGAAAATATGTTGGTAAAGCTTAGAGAAGTGAATGTTTCAATGAAGGGGGAGTGGTCAGCAGTAGTATAGGCTGCTGAGAGGTCAAAGAACTTGAGCACTTTAAAGTAATCATTGAATTTACATTGATCTCTGTGAGGGGTGTTTCAGAGGAAAACAGGTGAAGAAACCAGATGACACTGGGTTCCTTCATTTAAGGAACTATACTGAACACCTGTACTAGGCGCTAGAGGCCCAGAATCAGAGGTAATGCCTGCTCTCAAGGCAGTGGCCTTGTGGCAGGTTGAATGGGAGGTGAGGAAACAGAAAAAGGGAATGTAGACAGGTTCTTTAAGGCTGTCTACAGGCTTAAAAGGCTGAGACAGGAAGGCAAGAAAAGCAGTAGTGATGTTGATTCAGGATGGGGGATTTTAATTTTAAAATTTTATTTTTTAAGGTTGGGAATTTAGTGTTTAGGTTTAAGAGGTAAGGAACACCAGTTATCTTCATCCAGGCTTTACTGGTTTCCATTAGGCTCTACACTATTTCTCCATAATTTGCAGTCACTTGTTCCATTTTTCATATAACTCAAAGGGTGCTCTGATAAAGCCAGTGAGCACCATTACTGTTTTGTTGGTGGGGTTATAAAAGCTTAAGTGAAGTTATCCAGTGGGCCTGGCATCTAGGAAGATTTTTTGCTGCTGAAAGGTAAAGGGGTGGCATTAATGAAACTGCAAGGCTTTGGTGCTGGTTTGAGGGGCTGGGCTTTGGGAGCACAAGCTGGTTATAGTCTGGATATGAGGTGGGGGTAAACGCCCTGCAGGCCTCTTTGGGATTAAAGTCCAGGGTCTGAGGTGGACAGGCAGGCTGACAGTAGGTAGTACCCTTGTCCCCAAACTTTTGCCTTCAGGCTCTGGCCTGCTCTGGGGCCACAGCCTTCAGGAGGCTGATAAGCCATGACACAAATTAAAGAGCTGGGAGGCAAAACTGACTGATAAGGCAGGGGTGGTAATTGCTTCGAGGAGCAGGTAGATACCCACTTCCCAGGAAAGCTTTTTGCTATCTCTGTGTGAGCAGATGAGGGCAGCTGTGGAGGGGAATCTTGAGGTTAAAAGCCACGCCCCCCACCCTCAGCGGCTGTGGGGGGCATCGGGATGGCCAGCCCACCAATCAGCTCCAGGTCCCGCCTAGAGCCCCCACACGGGAAGTGACCTCAGCACTAAGGCATCCGGAGGCTGTGGCCAGGACCACAGACCGCCCCCTGCTCCGCCTCTTGGATCTGCCACCCGGGACTGGAGGGAATTTCCTTTTATGGCCCCGGGCTGTCAGGCAGGCACAGCTCCCACCCAATTGTTTTTTGGGTTTTTTGTACACTTTTTACTTTAGAAAATATATGTCAGTGGGGTAAGAAAAAAGTCAGATAGTTTTCTTTCTAGAGAAGCTAGTCTCATTTTTTCCTGTTTTCTGTGCCCAGGACTGCTTGAGCAGAGGAATCCTGTTGTATGTGGTGGCCTCATCAGTAATGACTTATCAAAAGCATTTCTCCTTTTCATTATAAACCCTTCCTGAACATCAGTTTAATTCCATTCCATTTTTAGATCTTAGTCTCAGTACCAGAGCCAATCAGTAAGCTTGCTCCCTCTCCCATGAGTTGTGGCCTTCCTTCTCCAAGACATCACCCCATTAACATGCACTGAATACCTACTGTCAATCCATTTTCTCAAGTTTACAGTCTAATAGACAGGACAGCCCATTAACAGATTTTTACAATCCAGTGTGACAAGTACTATAGTAGGGGGATGTACAAGATGCAGTGCAAAATAGAAAGGACCAACAGATGTTACAAAAGAGGTGCAGAGGAAACCAGATGAATGCTACCATTTAATGAGATGGGGCGTGCCAGGGAAAAACAGCTAGTGGGAGATGGTGGTGAAGACAATGAATCTTATGGACTTGTCAGGATTTCACGTGGTGGTTGGTTAGGTTTGAAGCTCAGGGGAAGGTATGAATTGGACAGCTTTGGGAATTGCTGGCATGAATGAGAATCAAAGTCCTGGAGAGGTAAGGTTTCCCACGGAGAGTATGCAGAGTGCCTATCAATTTTTTCTGTATCAAAGCCTTTGCCCCCATCCCACCTCCAGATGAATGACCATTGCCCCTTCCTCAAAGGGACGATCATGGCTTCTCTCCCTTGCACTGGGCCTGCCGAGAGGGCCGCTCTGCTGTGGTTGAGATGCTGATCATGCGGGGTGCTCGAATCAATGTGATGAACCGTGGGGATGACACCCCCCTGCACCTGGCAGCCAGTCATGGACACCGTGATATTGTACAGAAGGTATGTATGAACCCCTCCGTCACCTACATCACATACATGCGTAGAAGTCAGTCACAGGCACTGTAACATACTGGAGACAGTATGTGTACTCTTCTCCCTCCTCAAATGCCTCAACACCATCTCTTATTTGTGACTGACTGTGCCTTCTGCCTCTTTGTGTGTCTCTCTCGCCATGGGGACCAGCTGCTGCAGTACAAAGCTGACATCAATGCAGTGAATGAGCATGGGAATGTCCCCCTACATTATGCCTGTTTTTGGGGCCAAGATCAGGTGGCAGAGGTGAGTACTCAGGCCTCGAGCCCTGGGGTGGGTGGGAAGCAAAGTCTGAGCCTGATTGGGAGATTCTGGAACCCTCAACCCATCCTGTGAGTACTGCTCAGTGTATGACACTCACAGGGTTTGTACTGCATCTGTGTTCTTGGTTGGTTGTGACCGCCAGGGAGGTAGCAGGGGCCCTCATCACAAGCACCTTTTCATTCCAGGACTTGGTGGCTAATGGGGCCCTTGTCAGCATCTGTAACAAGTATGGAGAGATGCCTGTGGACAAAGCCAAGGCACCCCTGAGAGAGCTTCTCCGAGGTCCGTCCTCTACCCCCGAGCTTGTGCCCTCTTGTCTTGTCCCTGCCTATCTCCTCCCTCCAGACCACAGCGGAGACGAAGACTATTTGTCTTTCTTCCCCAGAGCGGGCAGAGAAGATGGGACAGAATCTCAACCGTATTCCATACAAGGACACATTCTGGAAGGGGACCACCCGCACTCGACCCCGTGAGTCAGTTGTGGGGGGAGGAGTGGTAATAGGGAATAATCCTGGGCTCCTGGGGCTGGGTGAGGGGGAAGCTGGGTACCTGACCTGCCCACACTCTCAGGAAACGGGACTCTGAACAAACACTCCGGCATTGACTTCAAACAGCTCAACTTCCTGGCGAAGCTCAACGAGAATCACTCTGGAGAGGTGACCCCTGCCCTTCTTGGCCCTCCCGCCCCAAACCCCGACAAATTACCTGCTCTGCACCTGTTTTAAGTTTCTCCTCCAGTTAGCAGGCAAGAAAGTGGTGGCCTTAGTTCAAGCCTCCTAACCCTTACCTGTCCCTCAGCTATGGAAGGGCCGCTGGCAGGGCAATGACATCGTCGTGAAGGTGCTGAAGGTTCGAGACTGGAGTACAAGGAAAAGCAGGGACTTCAACGAGGAATGTCCCCGGCTCAGGTGGGGCAAAGCCTAAACTGGAAGCTGCTGTTTCCAAGGAACCCTGACTAGCACCCAGAGGGAGATCTTTTATGCTGGGTCTCAGCCAGGGACACTCTCTCCCTCTCAGGATTTTCTCGCATCCAAATGTGCTCCCAGTGCTAGGTGCCTGTCAGTCTCCACCTGCTCCTCACCCCACCCTCATCACACACTGGATGCCATATGGATCCCTGTACAATGTACTACATGAAGGCACCAGTGAGTAGGGGATGCCAGATCTCATTGGAGGGGGCAGAGGATGTGTGAGCCTCTCCGAAGTATTTGACTCTTGCCTCCTTTCTTAGATTTCGTCGTGGACCAGAGCCAGGCTGTGAAGTTTGCATTGGACATGGCAAGGGGCATGGCCTTCCTACACACACTAGAGCCCCTCATCCCACGACATGCACTCAATAGCCGTAGCGTAATGGTGAGGTCACAGTTTCACTCCCGGCCCAGGCCCCCAGAAGCCGTTTCCCTATCTAGAATAGGACTTACCTCCTTCCTCAAATCTATCTTCTCTTCCTCAGATTGATGAGGACATGACTGCCCGAATCAGCATGGCCGACGTGAAGTTCTCCTTCCAATGCCCTGGGCGCATGTATGCACCTGCCTGGGTGGCCCCTGAAGGTGAGTGAGGGCATCATGTTGGGAGGTAGAGAAGGGCCAGCTCAGTAGTAATGGAAGGGGGCAGAGACAGGACAGGACAGGCAGCTGGAACAGATAAGTCCCGTCCCTCCAGCTCTGCAGAAGAAGCCTGAAGACACAAACAGACGCTCAGCAGACATGTGGAGTTTTGCAGTGCTTCTGTGGGAACTGGTGACACGGGAGGTACCCTTTGCTGACCTCTCCAACATGGAGATTGGAATGAAAGTGAGAGCACAAATCTATATACTTGTGTTGGGGGAATGGTGGTGGCAGTGACAATAACTGTGGTGGGGCTGGGCTCTCATACTGTGTATGTTTGGATATACAGTAATCCTGTCCTGAGGGCTAGAGGCTTTTCCCCACATGACTCAAGTTCTGAGACCTACCTGGTTTTTCCCTGTATCTGCAGGTGGCACTGGAAGGCCTTCGGCCTACCATCCCACCAGGCATTTCCCCCCATGTGTGTAAGCTCATGAAGATCTGCATGAATGAAGACCCTGCTAAGCGACCCAAGTTTGACATGATTGTGCCTATCCTGGAGAAGATGCAGGACAAGTAGGGCTGGAATGTCCTTGCCTATACTCCAGAGGTGTCAGGACACAGGGGAGTGCACCTCCCCAGAGCTGCAGGCCTCTGGTTGCCTTCCCTGCCTCCAGTCATGGTACTACCCCAGCCATGGGGCCCATCCCCTGCCCCCATCCCTACCACTGTGGCCCCAAAAGGGGCTGGGCTCAGAGCTTTGTCACTTGCCACACGGTGTCTCCCAGCATGGGAGGGATCAGCCCTGCCTGTCACAATAAAGTTTATTATGAAAACAGGCTGGTGTGGGGTCAAGGGGACAGACAAATACATTTAGGTTGGGTGGCTCAGGTGAAGTAGTGCGGCTTCTTCACATTGATGCCATACTCGCTGAGGGCAGGGGTCAAGTCCTCCATGGTTAGAGTGTACTTGCGGTCCTGAGGGAAGACGGAAGAGCACCAGCTGAGCAGAGGAATCCCAGATTTCAGTCCCAGGTGATGACCCTGAGTAGGTCATTCACCTCCCCTAGAACTTAGTTTCCCCAAAGGAGTTTCAGCATAAATTAAGCCTCTGCTGCTGGGGAGGTAATTACTGATTCAATGAGCCTCCCCTCACACCTTGCTCTTGCTTCGGGAGCTGCCAGAGGCTGTGCCCTTCATTTTGCAGTGCTGTAGGGCATCGTTGGCAATATCTGAGATGAATTTCTGGGCAGCTAGGGAGATGAGCCGAATTCTAGAGAGAAAAAACTGGTATGAGGAGGAGATGGACAACAGAGTCCACACAAGCACCCAAGGCTCTAACCTGCCCACAGGTTACTCACATGCGTGGGTCCGAGGCCTCAAAGCCAGCGCGGTTCAGGTAGTAACCAGTCACTGCATCTGGGATCTGAGAAATCAATTAGATGACTGTCAGGGTTAGCCCTGTGCACTGCCGTGAGAGAGTAAGGGAAATGGGGGAGGACAGGCCTGGCTATCAGGAAGCTCACAGTTTGGGTGGGCAGAGGGGATAAATCACAAGAGCTAGCAGGGAAGCAAATACAAGAGGACGCTGGAAATCCAGGTGGTGTGGCGGAAAGTTGGCGTGACAGCGGGTCAACAGCCTTGTTCAGGCTGGAAGCCCACCGTAGGCGTGTAATCCTCCAGCTGCATCAGGAAGTCCACCAGAGGCGTGCTGGACACCACCGGCTTCACCTCTCCGTTGGCCGCGCTCGGCAGCACGTAAACCCCGTTAGACATGGCCCCCTCGGGGGGCGCCGCGCCGCCCGCCGACACCGGAGCTGGAGAAGAACCAGCAAACTGAGACACGGAGGTGGGGGGCGCAGGGCCCCGGCTAGATCTGCCTTAGACCCTCTGCTCTCACCCGCCGCTGGGCCCAGCCCAAGGCGCTGCCCTCGCCCTCACCCGTCCCGGCCCTCACCCGCCCCGCGCCGCTCGGCCG